CTCTCCCACATTGTCTGGTGTTGGCCAATCATGCACTGCTTTCGCCTGGTCAGGATCAGTTCACACACAATGCTCATTTACAATATGACCCAAGTAAAGCATCTCTTTCTGGAACAAGTGGCATTTTGTGGGATGGAGTTTGAGGTTTGCTGCTTTCAAATGCTTGAATACTTCCTCTAGACGGGACATTCCTCATCAAAAGTTGTTGCAAATACAATGACATCATCCAGGTACACTAGGGCTATCCTCCATTGTAGGCCTTCCAATACTCTTTCCACCAGCCTCTCAAATGTTGCTGCAGCATTGCTAAGCCCGAATAGCATCACACAGTATTGCCAGAAACCTTGGCCATAACTAAATGCAGTGTTATGTTTATCTGCTTCAGCCATTTTTACTGGATGGAAACCAGACTTTAAGTCCAGAGTTGAAAACCACCTGGCTTCACTTAGGGCATCAAGAGTATCATCAATTCTTGGCAGTGGGTATGAGTCCTTTTCAGTTATACTGTTAAGAGCCCTGAAGTCCACACAGCAACATTGGGTCCCATCTTTCTTCTGGACTAACACAACGGGAGCTGACCAAGGACTATCTGACTTCTTGACTATCCCTTCCTTAATGACCTTCTCCAACTCTTGTTGCTTTGCTGGAGCTATTCTCCTTGGAGGGATCTTTATTGGACAGTGATTGCCTGTGCTTATTCTGTGATCTACAAGGTCTGTGCAGCCGAGGTCATGATCTCCTTTCGAAAGACGTCTGTATAATTCGCCAAAAGATCTCTAACCTGAAGAGCCTGTGATGATGACAATTGGACTATGCTCTTCTTATAGAGGTCTGTTAAATGTTCTGGAGGTGTATAGCCTTTCTTTATAGTTGTATTTCTTGCTTTAACATTGACTAGCTCTACCTCCTGGCACACATCCAACAATGCCCCTTCCTTAAGTGTCTGCTCACATTTAGAGAAATTGGCCACTGTTATAGGTACTACTTGATGACCTGCCACAAGTGACCTCTAATCTTCAAATCCATTGGCCTGGATGGGTCTTCCACTGCTTCCACAAGCATTGGGCTTCCTACCCCAAATTATCTTCTCTGACATAGGGGGTATTGTAGGTGACATAAGTGCTGTGACATGCAAATCAACGGATGCAGCAACACTTACTGGAATTTGGTCTTTGTTACTTCCAATCGTCATTTTATCGAAGTTAACAACACACTTCCTCGGTAGTAAATAGTCCAATCCTAATATGCATTGGTCTTCAATGTCAGCCAAGTATACTTTCTGTCTGTTCTCCATGCCCATGAGCTCAATAGTTACCCGCACTGGT